GTGCGCAGACCCGGTTACCGGGCGTGCGGCGGTAACCCAAGGGCAAAGCCGCTCCGGGAGCAAGGTGGTCGATCGCGGCGTCCCGAGGCCGGCTGGCCAGAGGTCGGGTCACCCCTCGGGCTGCCAGCTGTCTTACACTGGGAACACCAGCTCTGCCGCGCCAAGGTGTGTGCGCGCAAGGGCACCTGCCGTAAATTTTGACCCATTGTGAGATTTAACTGATTTTGAAAGGCATCTTGTAGCGGCAGGAGCATGTGTGCACGAGCAGCGACCAGTCCTGGCTAAGCCAGCCTGGCTCCCAGCAGAGATGAGCAATGCCAGTGGGCCGCAGTGCCAGGCACTCCTGGGCCAGCCAGCTCCCCGGAGCATCCCCCTCTCGCCCCTGCCATGACAGGGTGTGTGGAGCTCCTCTCTGGACCCAGCCGGGCTTGTTAAATGGGATCCAGGCACCCTTGCATCCGGACAGCAGCCTCCAAGGAGTGTGAGAAGGAAGCAAGCAGGCTCGACTACGTGATCGGGTACAAGCGACCTGGGGTGCTCCATGTGTGTGGCTCTTGGCTATTTTATGAGACAGGTGGGCGCAGATTGTCCCTGCAGTGCCAGAGTCAATGGAGCAGGAGACTGAGCTGCTTGCACACGTGGCCTGTGGCACAGGCAGTTCTTGTTTTGTGTTTTATTCTTCATGCTACTTATTCTCAGGCCATCTAATCAGGAAAACCATTTCTTTCTAAGCATGCAGTGATTTTAAAAACACTGATAAACTTTGTCTTCCATTTTGTAAAATAGTAGATATAATTTTGTTTAATAATGATATGAAAGTGTATTGTTATTTTCCAACTATAGCATCTTTAGGCCAAAATTAAAGTTTGGATTTATCTTGAGCAGTGGCTACATTATTTGGTTTCCTAAGTGTAGTGGTAGGCTTGTTTCCCTGTCATGTTTGAAAGTAAATTGTGTTTTTATTGTCCCTCTGCTCAGTACTAAAAGAGTTTAAGTCAACTTTCTGTTAAAACAGAAATCAAACCGGTCATTTTCGTAGTCACTTATCTTTGTACAATACCCAATAGCTCTTTGTCAGAAGTAGTAAAAAAATAGTTATTTTTCTGGGTTCTCCAGAATATTCCCAGTCAGTTCCTTTGGGGTCTGTCCTTGGGATAGACCCCAGAGGAGTCCCCATGCTGTACACCCTGCTGAAGATGCGCTGAGAGGATAATTTGCTCCTTGCCAACAAAAAGAGCTTAAGAACAGCCAAGCTGCAGGTGTATTGCTGTGATCAGCTATGCACTTTATGGATAAAAACAAGGTATATGGGTCATAACTGCAGAGCAGAGAGTTGGACTGAGACTTTCAACAACCTCTGACTGTCATCCCTGCCTTCAGCACAGACCAGCTCCCTGCAGCGCTGCTGGCCCTGGGACGTTTTACCGCTCACACCGGTGCTGAGCCAGGCACAAGGCTGAGACCCACCAAAACAGCACGTACAGGTGAGCAGCTCCTACCCCGTGCACTGCCCTGTCCCCCAGTCAGGTTGCCAAACCTGTTTGCCATATGCATTTGCACAATACTCTCCACCTGCACACCCACAGCACCCTCCCCCCCAAAGCAAAGGCACTGGAGAATGGAGTTTAAACTGGATGGATGGTGCGGGGCTCGTTGGGCGAAGCCTCTGGCCTGTGTTACGATGGAGGCTGCACAAAATGGTCCTGCTGGTTCCTTCTGAACTGAACCCTCCCTCGTTGGTAGGAGCGGGGACAAGCGCTTTGCCTTGGCAGATGGGCTGGACGCCAGAGTGGGAGGGCTGGAACGCTCACCCGCGGTACACCTGGCTCCTTTCAACGCAACGCACATGGGCAGTCAGCACATACCTGGTCTGCTGCTGCCCTTCCTGCCCTTACGTGGTTCCGGGGAGTCTTTCACTCCCTCCTGCAGCATCTCAGTGCCAGGTGAGCCCTGGGCACATGACTGCGTCCCAGCTTATGCCCTTGCCTCCTGGGATGTGCAAGTGGGGGCTACAGCCTCTCCCTCTCAGCAGGCTGGTCGCCCACGGCTCGAGGGAGAGCTTTTCACCAGGCTGAAGGGACATTTCTGGGGCTGGTTTTTATTGCTGAGACAAAAGCAATCGGAGCTGACTGAGGGTGGCAGGGAGGTTTACACCGTGCCTCAGGGATGGGACCTGTTAAACTCAGCCTAACTGGGCAGGAGATGGGTGCCCAGCTGCACTGAGCAGAGGGCTTTGAGCCTTCCTCAGCACTGGTCATCAGGACTGAGGGAGCTTCACAGGCCTATAGATTTTAAATGCCTCCAGGGTTAACTGCACTGGAAAGTGAGTTTTCTCAATCACTCCTCAAGGCTTACCTGCCTTTGTTTTGCAGAAATCCCACTGAAATCTGCAAACATTCAGGACCTTGCTCAGCTGTTTGCAAGCAGAGGAGAAACTGACTGCAAAATCAGGTGTTTCTTTGACACTGTCCTGTTGTCCTCCAGTTCCCTGGAGCCCACCAGCAGCAAACAGGGGATGCAGCTCAGCTCCCACGAGACCCCTGGCCCAAGGAGAACCGCTTCTTTATTTCTTGACCTGCTGGCATGAAGCCCTCCCTCTCCACCGCTGTTTCACCTCCAGAGCTGCTCTCAGACCCAGCCTGGGCTGTATGATCACTTTCTGTTAAAAAGAAATAAAGTGAAGGAAGGTGAACTATGGGTTACAGAAACAGGTGTAGGTGCTTCTGACAAGACTCAAGCACCCCGCCCGATTCGGACATGCGCTGCAGGACAGCGCTTCTTAGCACGCCATAAGACAGGGAGCTTTTTGTCTCCCTTTGAAGGCTCAGTGCTGCAGGGAACGCTGATCAAAGCTAAAGCAATTCTCTCCTTTGGTGCACTCCCGTTCTTTACTGTTTTGCAAAATGCCTGTGGCTGAGCAGTTAATGGAGGCATCTGCTGCACTGGCAATGTTCACCGACTTAATTAAAGACATCTAACAGTTCTGCAGCTGTATGCAAGAGACCATGGGTACTCGCAAGACTGAAACTGAATACCCTCAGCACTGAAAGCAAGTTTCCCTGCTGTGCAGAAAGCATAGATCTGCAGCCAGACACTCACATGAAAGTAGAAGCAGGGCCCAAAGATTAAGCATGGACTAGAGCTTGCAATGTGTGTTGACAAGACCTCAACATGCTGGAGAACTGTACAACCTCAGCTCACACTCAGATAGCTTAGAATGGTCAGACTTGTAACAAGTGAGCAGAGCCAGGGACATTCCTCGCCAGTAGGGATGGTTTTACCTGGAAAACATTTTTAACATATTTTCTCACTGAGTGAAAATAGCTGGTTTAAAAAGACAGGTGGGAAAACTAATCCTGTACCAAGTGGTTATCAAGTCCTCCTCTGCGTGGGGCCATGTTCTCTCCCTGTTAAATGAAGAAACATTTCACTCATGGGCATATTTCTGGTATCACTGCATATTTGAGCTGATAAGGGACTTTGCAAGGCTGTTATTTTAACAATTTACCAAAGAGGCTCACAGAACAGGCTGGTGCTTTCTCATTAGATTGCATGTCAGCAGACACCAAGGGCTTTGAATCAGGCTGCCGAGCACGGGCTGCTGCCCTGCGGGGCTGGGGAGCTGTGGTTGCCCTTCAGTGTGCTCTCGCCCTGCCGGGAGCAGAGCAGTCAAGAGGCAGGGACTCCCACACACTCCTGCCAGCTGTGGGAAGCCTCGCGCCTGCCCTCTCGGATCTGCAAATGCAACCTCTCAGTGCCAGCAATGTCACTGATGGCTGGCTGGGATGTAAAGCAGACAGATCAATGCTGTGCTGCTTTGGTCAATACGAATTTAAAAATGAAATTCTGTCAGGAGAGACACAACTAGTGTGAACAGCCTCTGTTGGAAAGGACACATCAAATGCACCAGCACAAAAGTGCTGCAGGTGAGGAGAGGCATTTTGACCACACGGTAGAAGCTGGTGGGTCTCGATATCCTGAGACCAGCATCTCTCCTACAGAGGAAGGGCATGCCCGCTCCTCTGCAGCCAGCTCCTACTGCAAGGGGAATTGCCCTTTCCCAACTCATCTCCAGTACAGGTGAACACCATGGCATGAGGCACAGGAGAGGGGATGTTAGCCCAGGCAGTGCATCATGTCCAGAGCTGTCCTGCGGATGACATGACAGCCCCCACCACCAGCCAGTACTGTCATGTAACGTGCCACATGGAGTCTGCTCACGTGGAAGCAGTGCTTCACCTTTGAGCAAATGCTGGATTGCTCTCAGCTGTGGCACGTAAATGATTTGGAGGAAACTGCAGCAGTTTGCTGGGCCTGGAGTTAGCTCTTTCTCTGGTCCTGGAGAAAAATCCTCCCTGGAACCAGGCACTTGGGTTGGCTGGTGATTTCTGAAGGGTTTCCTGCCCTTAGTTTTGCACCCTCACCCACTGAAGGACAGGGGTAGATAAAGGGCAAAATATGATATATTTAGAAAAAAGAAGCATGCAGCCTTTTCAAAGACAAACCCCTCCACAAACAGGAAAATGATCTAATTCTACCGTGTAGAGAAGCGATGGAGGTATGTATAAAGAAAGAACAAGCTCATTTTCCTTTTTCTACTTTTCTACTTTTATGTATCATATAATCTGTCATGAGATAATCCAAGCACTTTTATTAAAATAAAAAGCATAAGTTAGACACCCAATTATAATCTCCCTGAGAAGGGAACCCAGACCAACCTATTCCCCACACTGGACTAGAAGATATATTCATTAGACACAAGAAATGGGAGACTTTGTCCCAAAGCATCAAGCCTGGAGCAAGTTCGGCTCACTCTCTCTCTGCTCTCTGCTAGAGATCTGCCGCCTGCCTGCGTGCCTGCAGCAACATTCTTGCCTACACAGCTCTTGAGCCGTGTACTTTCCAGTGTGCCTTCTGCCCATGTGAAAACCTAGTAAGTGCCAGGCCAGGCTTCAGTCTGGTCAATTAGGGCATGCTGAGTTCCAAGACCTGGTAGCTGTAGGCAGGCAAGATGGGGGAGTGATGGCAACACATATCCACACTTAAGAGATGCCAGAAGATATTTCTGCTTGGACAAAGCTGGGTGGGGATAACGATAACGGAGGATGGAGTCTGGATGCAGAAGGCCAGTCGTAAGCCAACACCACAGGGCAGGTTAGTCAGGTCAATGCATTTGTGGCTTTTCTGTCATTTATTAGAATTTCCTCTGCAGCAGGGAGGAGGGATGGTACCAGCCCTGCCCCTTGCTCTCTGCCCAAACCTGCTCTCTCCAATTCATTTGACTTTACCTCTGAAAGGTGCTGCGCCCTTGCGGTCTCTCCCACAGCAGTGGGAAGGCAGCAGGTTCCAGCTGGCTGTCTTTGGGAGAGCCAGGGAATCCAGTAGAGGTGGGCTGTACAGGAGACTTGAACAAACTGGGAAACAGACTTAGGGCAGGATCTGGCAGATCCAGTCACTCTCAGGTGAATTGTGACCATCTCTCTCTTGCCTCCTACCCTGATTTGCTTTGTGGGCTGTAGATGCTGCTCCCTCCCTTCCGCAAAGACAGACTGGAAGAGGTGTACAGCTGTGACGACCTGAAGGCAGAGCAAAATGAGATGGGCCTTTACACAGCAATGTGCAAAGCAGGTGGGTAAGGCTGGTGGTGGGAAGGGTGGGTGATGGCAGTGGTTACCTGCAGCAAGAGGGAGATTGAGATCAATCATCGGCCAAAGTTATTCTTTGCAAAGGCCCAGGAGGGTCAGTGACATTGTTTATGAGCCTGTAGCACTTTGGTTTTGATTGGAAAAGACAGTGCAATTACAGCACCTATTTCATGAGATCAGCTTCCATTGAATTTATATAGCAGGCATCAACGAAATCACAGCTTGTTGCTCTGCCGGCTTAGGTAGGACATCCACTCTTTGAGGGGAGGGTTCCCCATAGCTACCAGCTTTTTCAGAAAGGCACTGGGCCGTAGCCCAGGAACATCAGGGTGGACCTCGGAGTATTTCTGCAGTTTAGCCAGAAAGCGAGGGAGCCCAACAGTGGAAGCATAGAACATGGGACCACCCCTATGCTTTGGCCACCCATAGCCATTGATATAAATTACATCCAGGTGTTCTGGGCCAGATGCTATTCCCTCAGCCAGGATGTCAAACCCTTCATTGATGAGGGAAAACAAACACCGCTCCAGGATTTCCTCCTGATCTATAAAGCGGGTCTTGATGTGATGGGTGTCTCTGTACTGGGCCAGGAAGTTGTGAAGCCATGGATCTGGCTTGGCTGTCCTGCCCCCAGCCTTCTCATACTGATACCAGCCTTTTCCAGTTTTCTGGCCGAACCTGCCATTCTCACACAAAAGATCTGGCAGTGGGCTGTAGCGATGGCCATGCCGCTGGCGGGCAGGTGTTCCTGGAGGTATTAAGGCGCCGGTGAGGCCCTGGCCCTTTCGAGACCTCCAGCCCACATCCAGCCCAGCAAGGTCAGACATTCGGAAAGGTCCTATCTTAAACCCAAAATCTTCAAGAACCTGATCTACGGCTTCTGGTCTGCTTCCTTCCTCTAAAAGAAAAACTGCCTGTTGAACTAAAGCGGGTCTTGATGTGATGGGTGTCTCTGTACTGGGCCAGGAAGTTGTGAAGCCATGGATCTGGCTTGGCTGTCCTGCCCCCAGCCTTCTCATACTGATACCAGCCTTTTCCAGTTTTCTGGCCGAACCTGCCATTCTCACACAAAAGATCTGGCAGTGGGCTGTAGCGATGGCCATGCCGCTGGCGGGCAGGTGTTCCTGGAGGTATTAAGGCGCCGGTGAGGCCCTGGCCCTTTCGAGACCTCCAGCCCACATCCAGCCCAGCAAGGTCAGACATTCGGAAAGGTCCTATCTTAAACCCAAAATCTTCAAGAACCTGATCTACGGCTTCTGGTCTGCTTCCTTCCTCTAAAAGAAAAACTGCCTGTTGAACGTATGGAAACATCATTCGGTTCCCAACAAACCCAAAACAATTCCCTACCACCACTCCAACTTTTTTCAGTGCTTTGGCTAGCTGCATGGCAGTGGCAATGGTAGTGGGGGATGTGTGATGGCCATAGATTATTTCTAATAGCCTCATCACATGAGCAGGGGAGAAGAAGTGCGTGCCAATGACCTGCTGTGGGTGGCTCGTGGCAGAAGCTATTTCATCAATGTTCAGGGCTGATGTGTTTGTACACAGAAAGGCCCCTGGCTTGCAGATTCTTGATAGCTTATGGAATATTTCCTTCTTTAGTGCCATGTTCTCAAACACAGCCTCAATAACTAGATCTACATCCTGCAACACATCAAAGTCCACAGTGAACTGGAGACGTGCAGGGTTATGGAAATCCAGGGTTTGGGCACCCTGCTCCATTTTCATAGCCTCACGTTCCAAAAGGAGCATCACAGCTTTTCTTCCTGTGTTCAGATACTCCAGATTCTGCTCGAGGGCTACCACAGGTATGTTGGCCTTAACCAGAGAAGTCACAATGCCTCGGCCCATTGTTCCTAGCCCTAGGGATAAAAGTGAGACAGAATCAGAGACAATGGATAGAAAATGTTACAATTAATCACTTGACAGTAGCAATTCCTTTGTATCTCCAGGATAAAATGCGGAAGCCTATGCAAAATGAGTGGTGCACAGATAGAAAAAAAGAATTGAAGACTGGGAAAAAGGAAGGTGAATTCTCCCTTTCAGTGAGCCTAAATGTTTGAAAAGCAGTAGCATAATGGCAAGTTAATGTCCTCTCAAGCTTACAAAATATCAGTGGGATTCATGCCAGTGTGTGCAGACCATGTGATTCATGTCTTCTCCCTGCAAAGTTTTATACCTATGGAAACCACCATCACTTAAGAGTTAGAACCTGGGGATCAAAGGCAGGAGATCTGAGTTTCAGCTTCAACCCTGTTAACAACTTCTAGCAGGCAGTTTCATAAGCAAGCTTCACCCTGAGGGTATCAGTACCTCTCTGTTCCTGTGAGATGGTCCTTTATGGACACTCATAGAAGAATATTAGTGTAAGCAAACACACCGCACCCAGAGATTTTAACACCAGCAAAGCTCAGAGAATTGGTTTCTCCCTCCTTCCAAGCTTCCTCTTTGTCCCCTTCCTCTTCTCCATCTGCATTTCACCGCATAATCTTTGAAGCAAACAAAATTCAGCTGATCTTGGACACTGATCTTCTCTAAACTTTGTCTCTAATGTCTTGTATGTCTCTTGCCACCAGTTCAAATAGGATGCAACTAACATAGTGTTCTTAATCCAGATTGCAACATCTTCTATCTCCTTTTTAATCACTCTGGAACATCAGTAGCCTTTTGCTTGCTGTTCGCACTTTATATCAGGCATCTCTGCCCACTGGGAACTCTCCAAGTCCTCCAACACAGGCCATTCCTAACTTCTGAAGATTCTCAAAGACACAGTCTTCCTTGTCCAACCACGCAGTTAAAGCGCTTGCCCAGAATTCCTGTAACTGAGCATCCATTCAAGCTGTTTTTTTCTCCAAGATTCATAAATGCGCTACTACCAGCTCATAGCCCCAGGAATACCACTGTAGAGATTACCAGCTTGATCCCTTCCCTCCTTCTGAGCCCTTCCACCAGCTCTGCCCTCTATTACATTAAATGAAGCTGCACGCTTACACTTTCCTGTGATACACAACTCACACTATTTATCCTGCTCTCCCATGATGGAGGCTTTTCAGACTAAGTTAATACAAACTAGTAAGAGAAGGCCAGCACAATTGTACCAGCTTTAAAAGTGCGAAGCATCTGAATGGGAGGATTATTAATATCCTAAATAAAGCAACAACCAGACAAAGTACAGGTCTGTTATAATTCTGTAAAAATGATTTTTTTAATCCCAGGTTTACAAATGAAAGTCAGCTAAACAAATAAACAGAAACAAAGGGATTAAAAAATTTGTCTAAAGCAGCTTTGTAAAGAAGTGCTGAAATTATCTCACCAGTTAAACAAGTTCCGACAATCAAGGTCAAACAAGGTAGTATGTTCTTCCTGCAAGCTACACACCCATGATTTAGTTCTGTCCACCCTCAGCTTGTGTACACACAAGACATTTAAAACATTCCCTGCTTAGCCACAAGAAGATAGTTTTTACAGACATCACTATCTGGCAGCCTGCTTATAAACCATTACACTCCCAAGCAAATGCTGAAGTTCTTTTCTAGGAAATTAGATTTGCTACTTCATAATCAAGTACTACTAAAAACTAATTTGAAAATAAAACTAGAATAACATGAATCAGTTCTTAGTATTTCAGTGTCCATGGTTTGCTGACTGAAAAAACCCCAAACACAAATAGCTCCTGCCACTGTACTCAGTACTCAGAGGCTTGGATGTGGCAGCAGGGACAGGCAGAGACAGTTTTTTCCCTGTCTTTGGTGAGCTACACGGACTGCTTTCTTCTCGGACAGTGCGGGAGGGTAACTCACCACCTCCTGCATACCCACCAAGCCCGGCCCCATCTTTAAGGCTCTCTTTAGACATCAAGGGTTTGCAGTTCCATATCTGGGTTCTTCATGGCTCCCTCTTGAAGTCTTTTCTTCCTTTCCAGGGTGGAGACCTGGGATTTCTCTCTAGAATTTCCAAGCTCTACTAAAGAAATAACGCACACATCCTGGGCCTTATCAACTTCTGTTCCTCTCAGCTTCAGTCTCATGACTGAAATCTTAGCAGTCCTCTCGCAACATGAACACGCTGCTTCTCCCTAAATCAAAACCTCTTCTATGAGCAGAGGTTCTGCAGCCTTCTTTTCAAGGGAAGATCTACAGTGGTGTTAGCTAATTCCCCTGTTTGCTTTCGTCCACATGTAGTATGAGTACTTCCATCTAGGTTTTAGCCATCCCGTGATAGACAGGCATACATGCTTGTAGTACTTCACTTTCTAGACCACGGGAATAGCCTTATAGATAAGATATGAGCTTGCCAAGCTTGCTTCTGACCTAGAAAAGCTGTCTCTCAACTTACTACATCATAACTCTTCAGTGGCCTGTATGAAATGATGTTTAATGAAGCTGGCAGAGAGAGTAATGAAAGCCCCAAGGGTTTTGTTACATTAGAGCTTGCACAGCATGACTCCCCTGGAAATATTTTCTAAAATTGGGCTATAAAACTAAGGAGGGATTTGGCTATCTGGCAGGGAAAGAAGCATTTTTGAGGACTCCCCTTTTCAATTTTATAAAGCTGAGTGATACTGGGGAAGAATATATTACAGCAGAAAACAATGGCAGGGAATCATTGGGCCTTACATGTGTAGAAGGCTGTAGTAGAAAGAGAAAGGGAAATGTTGCATGCTCAGCTCAGATCACACAGACCAAAACACGGTGAGGAACTACTCCAAAATTTCTACTGTATGTTCCATTTTCTTCCTCAATAGTGCTCTCACTTCCCCCAAACCATGAAAAAATCCTATATTCTTATCTTCCACACAGGGGACAGTTTTCAGAGCTGTGTTACCATCTTTCATGCCCAAGGCACATCTTTCAAAAGAAGACTGAAATCTGCTTCAGGAAAAAGAACAGTGTCTAGCCATCTTGCTTCTGGTCTTTTGTTGTGAAATGTAGCTTTGACGTATAAAAAAACTACACTTGAGCCCATGTAATTTCAGGCCAAATATGGATATGACAAAGCCATTTGCTGGGCAAGCTGAGTGACTAATGACTGTTAATTATTGATCTGTCACATGAGGTACTTAGAATATGAAAAATCATGCAAAATTAATTGAAGGACTTTAAAAACAAATTTCAAAATAAATGAACTCGAAATATGTACAAAGCAACTCATGTACAGTCACACACACTAGAGAAATACAGATCAGTGGAAAATATTCTGAACTATAATGAATTTTTGGACTTTGAAATGCTGGGCAATGGAAATAATACTTTATAGATTGGTAAAAGTATGCAAGGACTGTTCCAGTTTTCCTGTTAAAACAACAATGAGCAATTGGCGGTGGCGGACTGCTGCAGACTGGAGCTGCTTCTTTCTCTGTTTCAGGGCATTAATTTCAAGCAGAAATAATGTGATACTCAAGGCAAGCAAGGAGCTGTGGGAAGACTGCAGAAGGAACAGAGAAGAACTCTTTTTCTGGGTGACGAGGAACCAGAGAACGTGGAAAGAGATGGGAGCCAAGAGTTCAGAACAAGCAGAAGCAAATGAAATAGGTGACATTGCATGTGGCTGAAGACAGTCAAGGACAGCTAGGCCAAGAGCAGGAGGGATTCCACATAGCTGGTGTTACCCACTTATCAGTCTTTCCATGAGCAAACTGCAAAGGCAGCTGATGGGAAGCCAGCACTGCACAGGAACAGTTGCCCGTTCATCAGCAATGCTATCTATCATCAAGCATGCCCACAAAAATGATAGAACATCCTTGATGTTGAATCTACATTAAGACATGGTCAGCAAGCGATGTGCCAGCTCCCTCCAACAAGTTCTTGCTAATACTGGACAGACAGGGGAGTCACAAAGAAAGGCTCCCCTAGCATTCATGGCACTGTTCCCATAACCTAAAGGTCCTCTGTGCCTACAGAAAAGGTACTGAAGGAGGAGGAAGTCAATGTGATCTTCTCAGTTGCTTCCCATGGTGCAGCAATAAAAGCCAGAAGCAGCAGCATAATGTGACATGGTTTTAGTGTGTGAAACAGCACAGCACTGTCTATTGGAAAATGGAGTCTGCATGATTTCTGACCATCCAAAATGCATGCAACATCTTGCTCTGACTGCCCTCCTCTCTGCAGTGAAAATAGAGAGACCCTGGATCACCTAGATAGACTCAATACTTAAATGGATGAGCAGCACTATTTTAAAAGGTGTCAGTCCCTCAAAAATCATCCCTAAGATTTTGATTTCTGGTGCTGCAAGAATGTACTTAAGATCAAGAATGTGAAATTATGAGATACTGTACAGCATGGTACTGGCTGGAGAATGACTTTTTGTTACAGCAGCCTGAAAGAAAAAATACAATTGTGTTGGCATGTTCTATGTCTGTATCTAACAGACTTGCAATTTCACTGATATCAAAAGGCAAAATAGGAGGAAAACCTTCCAGAGGAAGGAGAAAAAGCCCAGTGGGGTGGCAGAAAGAAGTGGTGGAAAGCAGTGACACTTAATATGATGTGGGACTCAGAGTTAAAAGGAGATGATCAATAACCTCCAAAATAGAAGATGTCGCTAATCAAATGAAGTCTAACATACTTTGTTTAACTAGCATAAACAAAGCAAGCTATAATTGTGGGCTATGGGGGCTGTATTGATAGAAGCAGTGATTCAGAAAAGGCATTAGGAGTCTTGGCAAGTGTCAAAGCCCTGAGGACACTGATAAGCTTTAATAACTCTGACCAGCTACACCTGGAGCCTCCACCCCCACGCACTTCCCATGGGCCTCAGAGCCCCATTTAAGCTCAGACCTGGGCCTTCAGTCCCTTCTTAAGCTATGTTGGAGGAGTTCTGGTGTCTTACTGTGGCTGTGCCAGGCTATGGACACTGTTGATCCAGACCTCAGCCTGCAGGCTGGCTTCCCAACTTTACCTTGGACCTGCATCATCATGTGAACTTTGCTTGATCATCTGTACTTGTAGTAGACCCTGGCCATGATCTTTGCGTCTGCCCTGCTTGCCTTGCTCAGGTACCGTAAATAATTGATACAGCAGTGGGTTGTGCTGCCATCCAGACGGAGAAATGGGTTGATAGGAACTTCATGAAGTTCAGCAAGGGGAAGTGCAAAGTCCTGCATCTGGGGAGGAATAGTCCTATGCAACAGTATATGCTGGGGGCTGACTGGCTGGAAAGCAGCTCTGCAGAAAAGGATCCGGGGGTCCCGGTGGACACCAAGTTGACTATGAGCAGCAATATGACATTGTGGCTAAGGCAGCTAATGGTATACTGGGCTGCATTAGAAGGAGTCTCGCTGGCAGGTTGAGGGAGGTTATCCTTCCCCTCTACTTAGCACTGGTGAGACCATACCTGGAGTACTGTGTCCAGTTCTGGGCTCCCCAGTACAAGAGTGGTATGGAGCTATTGGCGTGCGTTCAGTGAAGGGCCACTAAGATGATTAAGGGACTGGAGCGTGTCTCATGAGAAAAGGCTGAGAGAGCTGTGACTCCAGCCTAGAGAAGGCTCAGGGGGATCTCATGAATGTATATAAATACCTGAGGGGCAGGTGTAAAGATGAGCCAGACTTTTTTCAGTGGCCCCCGGTGACAGGACCAGAGGCTATGGGCACAAACTGAAACATGGAAGGTTCCATCTGAACAGAAGAAAACACTTTTTTTTTACTGTGGGGTGCCTGAGCACTGGCACAGGTTGCCCAGAGAGGTTGTAGTCTTTATCCTTGGAGATATTCAAAAGCTGTCTGGACACGGTCCTGGGCAACTGGCTCTAGGTGGCCCTGTTTGAGCAGGGGGTTGGACAAGATGACATTCAGAGGTCCCTTCCAGCCTCAAAGATTTGGTGGTTCTGTCCCTGTGGGAGGTGTTATTGCCATTGGCTCCCCATCCCTGGGGCACAGCTACTCCCTGCCAGTAGACAATTAACAGGATGTGTTGAACATGGCTAATATGAAAGTTGGCTGTTACCTTGAGCATACTAAGTAGGAACAAGGCAGAAACATCTTGGTACCTGGTCTTAGCATAGCTGCTCCCGGAATACTGCTCCCACTCTGGCTATGCGTGCTTTATGAAGTGTTGAAAAATTAGGGGAAGTTCAGAGTCATGAAAATGACCAGAGTGTGACAGATTGTGCTCTGCAGCAAAAGTATCAAAGCACTTAGCTTATTTATTATTGTGCAAAAAGCATGAGTTAACTTGAGCATTGTCTGTAATCAGCTACAAAAACACTGAAACTTGGGGTTAGAGGTTGGGGCAATTTCAGACCAGAATTCAGAAACCTGTCTGGAGATGAGATGCAAATACTTAATCCAATGGATGGGAGATGTAGCCCAGCCAGTTCAGTTTGGAAATAAGTTACAGATTATGTTTCTACTAGAAACTTTCAAATAGAGATTGCATTTCTCCTTGGAATTCCCCCTAGCTCAGTTAAAGCACCAAAATAAGCAGACCAGATGTAAACAGCCCTTCTGGCTAAACTGTCATTGTAATTGGGACTTTGCAAATGTATTATTCTGGCATGATTTATCAGTAAGTAGCAAAGAATGCCGATTCTAGTCACCTGATCATTTCTACAAAACTTCAACACAAGCCCTTCCTGCCAAAGCACATGTTGCAGGACTGACCTGTCTGGGATTGCATGTGTCCAAAGTACTGTGCTCTTCAAGCCACATGATAAACTTGGCAATAATTCATGTCTCTTTACCTGAATGCTGTAAGAGCCATGGATCCTCCTCACAAGGTTTGTGGACCAATGTTTAAAAACCATTTTCATTAAAAATATGGCATGGTAGCTAATGAAGAGAAGGGAACTTCCAGAAGAAGTGTTTCTATGGCCTGAAATGAGCTTTCAGAGAGCTCATACTGCAGAGCACAAGAGGCCTGAGAAGTACTCAGGAAAGAGCAGCATTGATCTGGTGAGCTTTCTCTGAAACAGAATGGATGTTTTCCAAGTGCTCCATTACTTGTCTAACCATTTTTTGAGTGCTACTATCAACAGGCAGAGCTGAAAGATACTTTTTTAAATCTCAGCAGTGCATCAAAGGTTTTATTTAAATTGCTCTTATAAAAAATTAATGAAGGCATTATCTTGCTGGGCTATAAAATGGCAGGAGTGGATCCCAGTGAGATGAAATCTTCTTAAAATACAACTGTCAAAACATTTTTGTATTAATATATCCCTGAGTGACTCTGTGCACATGCACTTGCAGTACAGAACTAGACCGGGAGGAGGAGAATTTCATGCAAACGTGCTTCTAACACGGAACAAAGCCAGGACTCAACATAGCAGTATTTAAAAGGGAACAGACTGCTTATGGTCCACAGATGAAGCTGTCTCTGAAGTGAGAAGAAGTTATTCTTCCAAAGAAAGAGGTGGCACCAGGTAACAATCTAGTGGGATGTGACTTGCCATCTGAATTTCTGAGCTTACCAATGCAGTGACAACTTCCCTCCTTGCATGTCACCTATAGGTGTGAATTATCTTTGCCTGTGATGGGTACCAGTGACTTTGGTGAGTGACTGCTAGGGAATCCCACTTCAGCCTTCTGTCTTGAGTAAAGCCCAATTATACTCATCCCACTCCCCTTCAGCTGTGCTGTTAGCTGCGCAGTCAGCAACCACAACAGCTTTTTCATTCCCTTACCTATCACAGCTGCTTTGCAGATGGGCTGAGGGGAAGCACTTTTCCATGAAGCTCCACTGGGTGTTGTCCACTTCTGCACTGCTCTCTCTGCGAAGAAAGCATACTGCAGTGCTTGGGCCTGGCCTGAAGTCAGCAGGATGTTAAACAGCTCTCGCTCCTTCCGGACTCCATCTGCAAAGGGCTGCTCTGTGGCAGCTTTGACTGCCTGGAAGCACAGCTCTGGAGCCAGGCACCCGTGGGCCTGTTTCTTCACCTTCACAAGAGCCTCACTGAGAAATGCTTCCATGTTGGGCAATTTTGGAACTGGCTTCAGGCTGAGCCTGTGGGGTCCCAATGGCTGGCCTGGGGGTAGAAGAATGGAGTTACAGAACAAAGCATCCACATCTGGAAGACTACAGATTTTCACCCCTTTCTACATAGACTGGGAATGCAGCCTACCTCTTTTCCTCCTAAGCTCACTGCATTAGGGCTTGCATGGCACAGTGATCTAGGTCTAGAACTAAAGTGTCTGATGCTTCTCTTTAGCTTTCTGTTTGTTCTGACAATTACAATTTTTCAAGTCCCTTCTCAGACTTCAAAAAAGCAAGATTTCAATTTCAAAGAAGTAATTCTCTCCTTCCTTTTCTCAGCTACACAGAGTGCCTTGACTTCTCCAATTCTCTTACTCCACAGTCCCAGCTGCCACGTTCATATGGCTCTTTTTATAAGCTTCAGTACTAAAGTTTTCCTCCATTATTGTTTAGTACTCAGTGCCCAATTGACTTTGCTAGCCGGATGCATTCCAGCCAGGGTCCTGACCCAGGCGTTTATAAGACAGACTGGGAAATATACCCTGACTTCAATCCTTCCCTGGCAGCAGGAGTCCCTCTATTCACTTTGGCACTAACCAAGGGGACAGCTCATGCAGCATGAGTTGAGGAGCAAATGAATGACAAGGGAGAGTTCATGCTTCTGTGTCAGCAAGGGGTGAATCAAGCAGCCATACAAATACATGAGGCTCATTACAGACAGAGGTTTCTGCGGTGATACCTAGAAAGGATTTTAATTGAGAGAAGTTAGTTACATTTCAGATGCCAAAATCCTCTTCATCCTCTTCAGAAGTACAAACCTTGGTGCCTGCTAAGTGATCTCTGATCTGTCCATACTCAGGCTGTTCCTATGCTCTTAATGGCAGCTTGCCTCAGTAAAGACCGTGGAGGAACAAGATCAGAAATTCGGGATGTATCCCCTTAATATTCCAACATTTTCACAAAGATCCTTCTGTCATCATAGCCACATCCAGATCGCTAACTGTATAGCAATGTTACTGCACTGACTGCTGCCTGAAGCACCCAGGACTGCCACCAAAGCAGGATGGTGGGTGGGCTCCCTCTAATGGAGAACCTTATGGTGAGAAGCTCTCTGGTATACAGTATCACTGCCCTAGTTTCTCTTATATGAGCTCTGCCACAGGAGCGCACTTCCTTCAAAGGTGGCATATTGCATCCAGCTCCCCTTTTTCTTCTTGTTGTCTGAGTTAGGAAAGTGCCAGTGCATCAGCAGAAGACTCAGGAGCAGGAAGTCATACACAGGATGCTGAAGGGCAGGAATAATGGCAGCACTGCAATCACGGTTGCCCAAAGAACGTGTCCTGGCTCTAACTCTTCCTCCAAGACCAAGCAATGTTTAAAAGAAACAGAAATATGAGTTTCCAGGATGAGTTAAGATACTGATTTCCTGAAATAATGGTCTTCAGAGCTCAGGCTTTTTAATTAAGCCTTTTGGAGAACACAGATGAACACTCACTGTGTAAGTAGCTTCCCTTGTAATCAGAGTTCATAAAAATAATGTTTTCACGTTGACAGTGAATATGGTTTGTATCTGCCAGTATTGCAGGATTTAGTCAGGATAATGTTCCTTTATTTTGGAATCCTTTGTTTCTCCCCTAAATGTATGTTTTTATCCACAGTCCCTTATTTAGGAACTTAAATAGTGGGTTTCATTTCATCACAAGAGGAAACCTCAGGTTTGTCCCAGAAAGCAGACCTGATGGCTGGAAGGCCACTTAAGACTGGGCAGATCAAGGGACTTTGTATGACATCTCTGATGTGGAAAGGACTGGTAAAGAAGGCATACTACTGGGAGCCTTTAAGCTTGGTCTTTAGACAGCAAATAGTACTTGTAAGCACAAATACTGATGGGGGACATGAGAGAGTTCCTCAGAGTAAAAAAAGAAAAGTAACTCTCCTCAGGGTCCTGTAATAAAACTCTCATTTAGCTGCAAGCTAAATACTTTTTGCTAAGTATTTCTACAGCATCTCCATGCAGTGTGTTTGCTTCTGCAATGCTAATAAGAATCAAGGGTGTATTTATGAACAGGAAAAAATGATCTGAATCCAAACCTGGGAAGAAGAGATCAGTGTGGGACACCCGCGGCTTGATTTCTGAAATCAAAGCAGCAGGAACATGATGAACAGTATCGGGCATCAGTGCTGCAGGGAAGAGCATCATCCGTTCGCAGGAGCTAGCACAGATACCTGCTTTGTTTTACTAGGGTTTGTAGTCCAGGTAGCACAAAGGACAGATCAAGTCTATAAAATTTCTATCAGCAAAAGCAACATGTGAGCATGCAGTATCAAATATTGTGTTATTTAAAGAAAAAAAAATAATCTCAGAGTTGTAAACCCTTGGGATATTACATGATTCCACATGAAAGAGGCAGGGCTAGCCTAACAGTCTTCTGGTGCAGTGAACTGCTTGTGAATTTCTGAGAAACAAAGCTGAAACTGGACCCCTGCTCCTCAGGCTTGCAGTTGTCTCAGGCCTGCCAGAGGTAAGTCCAGCTTGTCAGACCTTTCACAAACTCTGGTTGTGTCAAAGGGGCACTTTGCTAGACCTTCTGCCTAAAGAAGGTGGCAGCCAGAATCATGAGCCCTGGAGAGAGGTTAAAATGTCTTTATATTGTACATCTTCCCAGAGATGACGCACTAAAGGCCCTTGCAACTGTAACTGAAAGCCTTTCTACAACAGTCACCATTTAAAGCTTGCAATTACCTAACAGCAGTATCTGTTACTCCTTTGGGTTTTATGAGACTCAGAAGAAACACATGCTTCCTCCACAGTTATTCCTAGTGGCTTACTGTCAGCAACTCATAATCATCTTTCCACGCAGAGTTTAATACCTGTGGGGCCTGAGCTAGTCTAAATTGAACTGATTTTCCCTGGCTCTTCGGTGCAAGCCATTGATGCTTTTGTGCTCTGAGAAGATGATAAAGGTCAATCAGCAGATGTGGTCAGAAAGCAAGGGAAGATTATATATGAAGGGAGAGCTTCAAAGAAGTCTGCTGTGCAGAGGATCAGCAGCCATTTTCTCCTCCAGCCGAGGAAGACTACAGCAGGTCAGCAAGAGGTGGGCAGTATAAGCTGCAAGCTATTGCCTGCCACAAGCAATTACAGCAATTTTTCAATTTTGTGATGCCATCAGGTGGACAAATTATGTAATGCAGCTTTGAATTAGTGCAGTGATTATCAAGCACATTGAATGAAAGAACACTTTCCTTGTCTCCAAGGATTTAGCTCCTATCTATTCCTTCTAAAAAATGCCTTCAAAAGTGAAGATATTTTCTTTTGTCTGAAGAGGCCAGTTTGCCTGAAGAAGGCCAGGAACATATGCTCACTTCCTATCTGCAATATATAATTACTGTTTTTCAATGAAAAATTTAAGTTAGAATCGATAATTGTCTCTGTGTATTCCTACAACCACTTAATCAGGACTGTTTCAAACTCCTTTTGAAGGTTTTCTTCATCCATACATTTTTATGGATTATTCCTAATGAAGATGCCTTCCCAACATACCTACCATAAAGGTAGCTCTCTCAACTGCATATCAAAACAATAATCAAGGACCCTTGCTTCAGTAAGGCCAGTCATTTGAGACTGATCTCTTGCCATGAGATACTGCAGCTCCAGTGCTGAGAAAGCTTTAGAAGAAAATAATTTCTGAATTGATTCTTTGAGACTTATCTTGCAGTACAGCCTTCCCAGGAATAGAAATTCCATCAGTGACAAAACTAGTTATTTAGCCAAACTACTCTGTATGAAGCCAGCAGTTGTTAGCCTCATGTTTAAAAAAAAAAAAAATCTCATCAGAAACAAAATGCTGCATGCCTTACAAAGACAGTGGAGTTCTGTGATGGCATTTTTTTTGTGCAACTCTGTCTCTGTTTTAAGATTATCTGAAAAATGTTCACTGAAAACAGAACTCAGTGTGAACAAAAACCAGACCAGCTATGCAAGACCGTCATCTCTTTTGCAGCCCTGAGTTAGTGCTCGATGTAGAGAAATAAAAGCACTGGTTTGCCTTTGTATGGCAGGAGAATTATATTAACTTTACGCAAAGGCCAAAGCCAGGGATGACTCAGAAGGAACATATGGATGCTGGGTACACCATTCTTTCAAATTATCAGGTAGCCTGGGGCTATATGGTACATCAAAACTTTTCATGGTCTTCTGCAAGGTCTAATGAGAAATTTTCCAAGCGGGAAAGAAATAAAGATTGCTGACTTGCCAGTATTTTCACTGTTAAAGCAGATACTGTAAATGCCAGTAAAGCTGTCAGAAAGGGTCTTTAAAGCGTTTTTTAAAGTCCTGTTGGAGTTGGTATATAGTGTGATGTGAAACACCTTCAATGACATTACTCATTTTTACTGGGGTAACTCAAACCAGCAATAAACAGATAGAAAATCTACCACTAATAATGAGTAAGACTGGGACAGGTTACGTACTGAACATCCAGCTAGGATCCTTGTATGCTTATACAAGTCTCAAAATTTTTCTTGGTAGTGACAATTTCCAATGAAGATGAAGCTACAGAAGAAGAATTTGCCAATAGCAGTAGTGGACATACATTCCAGAAAGCAAGTTACACTGAGGAATAGTGTGCTCAATGATTCATTCCTGAGGTCTAAGGTCAAGCTGACTTTCACAACTGTCAACAACTGCACAATGTCTGTCACAGAAGAAATAAGCATACAAGTATCTAAATTTCACCCAATTTCACATAGTATTTGTTGAAATCCAGAATGCTTGCTGGTTTGTCAGTTCTAGCAATGTATCTACTACTCATTTAATGATATGCTGCTGCTGCCATCAATACTGGTATAGATCTTATGCAGGGCATCATTCAGAAGCCCAGAGGGTACATTGAAGGGAACACTGTTGTTTGGGTTAATTTGCCTAGAAGAGTAGTAATATTTCACTGCTCTCTCAACAGATGGAGAAACAGAGTTCTCATTCAAAACAGACAAAAATCAGTGAACCAAATTATCTTCGTTTTTCTTAGAAGCAATAGTGAATTACATCACCCATCTCTTTCTAAAGAATTATATTTAAATAGTCTTATTACATATAGAGAAAGAGAAGAGAGGACTGCTTATGTCATCAATTCTGCACTAAAAATGAAGCTGAAAAACACTGTAGGATGAATACAGTGAGAAGGAAGGGCACCTCTTACAGAGAACTTAGACAAAGAATACCCTTTTGCACCTATCTGGTAAATCTCAAGTTGTAGGGAAGTATACAAGACACTGATCTTTAAGAATAGCCTATTCATTGAACTATCTTAAAAATATGGTGCACTGCCATCTAGGACAAAGCTTAGGCTGTTTTAACTTCTAGCACAGGAGAAGTGCTCCTTTAGAGAAGAAAGAGCCTTGTTTGTAGCAAAGAGAACTGCAGGAGCAAAGGCAGCATCCCAGCTTGGAAAAGCATTGCTTATAAAGGCCATGTGATCAAAGCAGAAAGGGTTCTTTGCTTCCTTGCACGCATCTCATTGTGACAGAGCTCCAGATGAAATCCTGATGGAAGTCAATGGTCTGTTTCCACAGGTACGAGGAGGTTAGTAGTGGAAAAATATCCTGTTTTCTCTCAAGGTGATGCTCCTCATGCTGCACAAGGAACGTTCCTCTTCCTGTGTTAACTCCAGTGAATTTAATGTTGTTATTTCTAAGGTGGGAGGAAAAAAGTCTCTCCACATCCCTCCTATCTCCACAGGCCACTTTCTTACATTGTCCCTAATCCTTTAGTTGCTGAGTCACTTACAGACTCATGGATTATTAAGTTGGGCTGAGGATGTGCCAGCCCCTTCACTGGAGGGAGCAAGTTATTTTTGATCAGCCATTATTGATGGTGCAACCAGAATACATGCAATACTAGCTGTGATCCAAAACTAAGTAAGGAAGGAGCACATATTCCCCCAAATCAGTGGAGTGCAGCAGCCCAGAGGAGCATGTGAATTTGGATATATAATTAAGAAGCAGGAGGACTCGATATGTATCTGTTCTCTGAATCCTCACTTGAATTTCTGCAGCTCTCCAGCATCTGAATTTTTCACTTCAGACAACAGAAAATAAATTTTGCAATTGTATCTTATATGGATGCCAAAACTCAATGAATGGAGCATATAAATTGGAACAAACTGGTGGGCTTTGTTCTGACTCCCCCCAGCCCTGAAACATCACCAATTATTTATTGTCATTGCTACAATTCTTTCCTCACCAATCACTTTGTTTGCCAAGCGAATTGCTGCCTCAACTGTGTTTTCTTCCACAATTTCATCAACCAAGCCCAGCTTCAGTGCTTCAGTTGCTGGAATGTGTCTTCCTGTGATAAAAAGAGAAATAGGGTGACTACAGTGGGGCATGATGGGCAATTTCATTCTTTTCCATCTGATCAAATGACTTGTGTGTAGCTGGCTTCAAATATGAGACATGCTCATTATCAAGTACACAAAATGCATTACTAACTTCATGCCTCAGAAGCATGTATGTCCCTTTCTTAGCCCATCATTAGTGGAAGCAAGCTGAATTTCAACCCAAGCAGCTAATTAGATAAAATAAATTAATGTTTCTTAGACCAAGCTGGTGGTATGACTCAGTGCCATATTCTTATATACAGAGCAAGGCCAAGGCATGGTACTTTACCTGTAGTGATTATATCTAGAGCAGCTGGTACCCCAATCAGTCTGGGTAGTCGCTGAGTGCCTTCAGCACCTGGAAGTAACCCAATGGTGACCTCTGGTAAACCCATCTGTGCCTAAAATTAAGTCAAATTCAACAACAAATCTGATTAGAAAGAGTGATAGTTACAAACTGAGCAGAATAGAGGAAAGACGAGCAGACCTGACTCACACATTGCTCTTCTAGGAAGCCTCAAAACTTCTACATAGAAACTTCATCCTTGCTTTATGCCACATAAGACATTTAAGACAAAAGCCCACTCAACCATTTCAAGAACTTGTGTACAAATGCACAGGAAAAACATCACCTTTCAGTGGATGTATGTGTGCTAGCACAGCGCTGGAGGAGAGCTGTGAGGCCAACAGCATCCCCCAGATTGACACATATGTAAACTAATGCTTTCAAGCATTTGTTACCAAATGCTGGAGGGCACTCTGTGACTTAACTGTTACCTCCCTACTCTAATTCTTGGAAGTTTAGTAAAGGAAAATTGGTACTGAACTCTTCCCTAATCTTCCTTCAAATGTGTTTCCTTCAAATGGCTCTTGGTGCACTTGACATCTAGTAGGGTTATGGCAGAGAAGCCAGGGGCAGCAGGAAGGGGGGGCTTGTCTTCTCTTAAAAATCTAGATAGATTTTGTTGCCTCATTCTAACAAAAACTAGTTCACACATTTCCCATTGAGCTCTTAAGAGATTTGGAGTCACTTTAAGACCACTACTTATGGTGGTATGCCACCACCCACCTTAGGTGGCATGTAGGATGATGTAGAATATCTCTTTATGCTGTTACAGAAACGCACACTGTCATGGAGAAACAGTGATTCATACTGCGAAAGTGAGAGGATGGCCCTATCAGTGAAGAATCTCTATAAGGAGATCAGGTACTGCTAAAAGGTAGTTCAGCTTTCCTGAATCTTGAAGGAGGGGGTTCAAGAAAAAAAAACAACAACCCAGATCACTCTTTTAAAGACTCTTAAAGCTGTCTTTTGGTCGGAGTATTCCCTGAGGAACCAGAGCTCATGAGGAATCAAACCATAAATGCTCCATGCTAGCTGAGTTTCAATTGCCTATTGAAACTAGGCCACTAGCAGAAAGAAATGCAAAATTCACAGGGCTGAGGGGGGTGGGGAGAAAAAGTCACACTGCATGAACCAGTAAGATACAGCCATCTACATCAGAATATAGATAACGACTACTAAGATCTAGGGCAAATTAACACTCGGTTACTGAAGTTTCTATGCAGCCACCTTATTCTACTAGTTACAAATCAATTTTATATTTAGAAATGACTTGAAATTAGTTATTTAATAAGACTTATGAAAGCATGTCAAGGGTGGTGTTGCAGGTTAAGAATGTCTGAGCACACAGACTTGTATCCTGTAGCTATAAAGCCCCCCACCTCTGAGCAGATGATCCCAGGAAAGGCATACTGTCTCACTGCTCTCCAGGAACAGCCTCCCACGCTGTCCATGGCCATATGTACATGGCTCCTGATGCCTTTGCCAGCCTTTCTAGTTTGCAGCACGTGTTACCTTCACATGTGCAATCCGATAGTGACAGCCAAGTGCCACCTCCAGGCCTCCTCCCAAGGCAATGCCTTCAATGGCAGCCACCACAGGCTTCTCACTCCTTTCTATGAGAGAAATGATGGGGCCCAAGGCAATACCCTGTCTCTTCGGAGAAGAAAATCCTCGAATGTCAGCTCCTGAGTTAGCACAAAGAGATGAGGAATTAGTGGGGAAGGCAGTGATTGGAATGATCCTTCCCTCTGTGCTATTGAACATAGCTGCTCACAGATGATCAAGCCCTTGCAGAGCATGCTGCTGGCAGAAGGAGTGGTCCCCTTTTGGGACAGCCTTCAAGAAACCCTGGCTCCTTGAGGCTATTCAGAGAGCTCAGGAGAAAACAGTACAAAAATACGTAACTGTAGCAATCATGCAGTTACTACAGAAAATTGCAGACATGCTTGGTTAAACAAAAAAAAAAAAGTTGAGTCTGGACTAGTTAAGTGCAAGTTATTACTAACAAGCAGTGTAAAGCTCCACAGAAATTCCATAGCTTCCCAGGTTTCTACAACTTGAGAAGATCTGTTATTCACCACTGCCCGACCCCAGGTATGTTCCATACACTGGACCACTTGATGGTCCAGAGATTTTATACTGATGCCTCCTTACTTTCCATGGCTTGCTTTGCATATCAGGGAGATGAGGAGGTATTCCCCACTTCAGCATGAACATACCAATTTATTTCTGGCCTGGACAGTCCAACTTGTCATGTGCCCCATGTCAGTTGTGGCACAGCAGAATAGAAAAAGCCCATTTTCTTGTGGCCATTTTCAGCCAAATCAGGACTTTTATCAGCAGTGTTACGAGGCAGAGAATCTTCAGACATGGTGGGTGGAGAGTGTTTCCTCTTTTTCTTGGGCTCTTTGATGAAAAATGTCTTACCTGCACTGAATTTCCCATTTTCACCGCAAATCGTAACAGCTTTCACTGAAGGATCTGCATCTGCTCTCTTCAGTCCATCCTCTAATGCCTGGAGAACTGTCAAGCTGAAATAAATTGGAGAGCGAGTAACAGTCAACTACATTACCTTTCCAAGAGGTCTGTGTTATAAAGGCCAAGTGTCCCAGTGAAAAGGAGCAGTACAGCCAAGCATGTCTCTCCTCTAGCCTGTCTTCTGCCACAGCCTTTCCACGTGAATCCTTTCATTAGTCTCCTTCTCACTTCAAGGGCAAGTGCCAAAATCCAACAAGCTTATGACTGCTGACCTGCCATTCGCTTGCTGGAGAGTCTTCTTGTGGCTATGACATTACTGTTTCCAAAGCATAGGGAAATGTTCTTTTGAAAATGCCTTTATGAATTAAACATTTGGATTTTTAGGAAAACAGTTTAGCATAATTTAAAAGTAATTAATGCTAAACCACTGACAATCTAAGAACTTTTCAAAAAGGGAAATGAGCTCCAGGGATATAAAAAGCTATTTTTCAAACACCTGACACAGAGTTGGTGCTGTGCTGACAATTATGCTTTCACTTTGTGGAGATTTGTATTTAGGTCCAGACTTAAAACTTGTGTGGCGTCCTGTCAAGGTGAATTTGGGCCTAAAAACCTAAGTAGAATTTCTTTTTTTTGTCTTATCTGAACATATTTCCACAGATACAAGCAGTAAATGTGGCCAGCAAAGAATTAACGAGGAACTTCAAAACGGAACAGTAAAAGTATAAACAGTATTTTTACAAATCAGATATTTAAAAAAATCTGGCCTGACTGTATGCTCGCTTGGCATTTGAAGCTTAGAAGCTAATTGTGTGTGTGTGTGTGTATGGATGGACGTGGAGAGTACCGTCTGTTTTAGAAGACAGTGACAATAAAGAAGGAGGTAGGTAAAAATAGAAGCATTAACACCTAACACTTTATTAATAGAAGTATTAACACAAATTGTGTGTATACATAATTTAGATACAAAAATATATTTGTATACACACACTTGTAAGTATGTAAGTGTATATATAGTTTGTGAAAGAGACTTTTCTGTGTGCATGTGTGTATACGTACTACATACGTAGATATGCCTCTGATTCAGAAAATGTGAGCCACAAGTGGTTGGAGGCCGGAGGAATACTCAAGGAAGTATCATACATGCTCGCCCAGTCCTTTATAAATACACCTTCTGTTCCTAGACCTTCTCCAAACTGTAAGCTCAGTTTCACACGTAAGCTTGGTGGCTGATGAAAAGAGAGCAGAGCTCTCTTGATGCCCAGTGGAGTGGAGCAGCGTGAATTAAAAGGAACTGATAGAAAGGCCTGATGCATACTCAGTTTGTGCATGTTTTTCAATATATTTGAGGGCATTTCACTTAAAAAGGAAGTTTGTCATAAAGTAGATGAAAAATGTATCACTGTACTTGTGTAATGCTTCTAGGTGTGTCCAGGGTGAATGATCACATTATTTATGCAAGGCAGCAGCCTGCAGCATTTAAGTGGAAATCCATAGACTGAAAAGGAAAACCTGGGGTGCCCAAGAAGTTTTCTGTAAGCCAGCTGTGTGAGGTCCTGCCAGCCAACCTCTGCATATTCCTCCTTCAAAATAAACAATTAAGAGAAGCTATTAGCAAAGTCTATTAATTGGGGCTGTTGGCTGAGCGGAGAGTTGGGGTGCTGCCTAGGTGGGGTCACCAGGATCAGCTGCCGCCTGGATAAGGCCATGCTACACAGAAGGATCAGTGGGAGCCCTGAGACCTGACAACCAGAGACTGACAGAAGTGTTATTTTTGGCAAGAGAACAGCCGGTTACGTACCAATTGCCTCATCCAGACAACAAAGACAACTCTGAAGTCTGACATTAGTAATGGTTCTGAAAGCTGAAATAAAATGAGAATAATTTGGCCATGACAAAGAAAAATTATTAGGTGATTCTGCAAAGGTCCTTCCATGTGCATATAGTTCCATGTAGCAGAATATGAAAGCCTTCCCAATTTTAATAAGTGGTTTCATATTCTGTGGGGAAAAATACATATTAAAAGTTTGTTTTTTATCTCACTCCCTTTGGAATATCAAGTGCTGTGGCTGCTGCTATTTGAGGAGGACCCACAGGCTGCACCCAGTGCTTGCTGCTCTTAGAGGTCTGTTTTTGCATCAGTGGAGAGCCAGGCCACAGAAATACCAAATTCACCTAGTGGCTGGAAGATTAAAGGGAAAACCATCATAAAATGTCATTATATTTTTTTACAAACCATGGTGCAAAAAGGGGGAAAAAATATGTACCAGGATTCTGAGCAAATGTTAAATTGATTTGAAAATATTGTATATAAAAATGGCACAATTCTTTCAGGAACAGACAAGAAGCAGTCAAAGCATTTATGTGTCTGTTGCAGGCACACGATCAGCAGGTGCAAAATACTCATATAAAAGGTTTGTCTGCATTAAATGGAAAGGTTCAGGATTTTATATAGGAAATTAGTTACAAGCCCTCAGCACTTAAAACAACATACTCCTACCAGAAGAAAAATTAGTCACCAAGGCTGCCACAAAATAACAGTTCAATACCTTCATGACCTGTATTAACCCAACAGAACTATTCTTGCCAGAGAATAACTTGACCGTGTACTTGCATAAATATTTCTTCTCCCTTCATACAACTTTTTCCCAGTGGGAATTTTTTTGTGGGACAAGAAGGAAGAAACATCAGACTCTTTGCAGTTTCTTGTTCTCCTAAGATGGAGCAATATGTTTGCCTCAGGATATGTTACAGTCCAACACACCGGCTGCATTGCTTTGTAACTCACATATTCTAACTGGTACTAAAAGATGTAATTTTTGACAAAAGCATTGTAGTAAAATTTATGACAGTAAATCTATAAAAATACTCAAGAGTATCACAACTTCAAACAGAGCATTAAAGAAACAAAAAGTCACCATAATTTGCGTATTTCATTACTGTGACAGTGTCATTCATTTAACAGTAACAATGCAAAAAGTCACTCCATGCATTCCAATCAATGCTTAATCCCGTGCTATGTAGTCAGCTCTACCATGTATACTATTTTGACTGCAAGAAAAGTGACTCTGCCAAGATGATTCAGTGTTACGGGTTTCAGAAACACCACAGGTGCTGTTAAAGAACATGTGTGCACCAGGGTAACAATATTCTTGTAGGTGACCGCACCAGGTTATTTTTATTTTGCATAAAACTCATTGTAGTGATGATGTGCTGCATTTCTAACAAGGTTTTATTATTTGCCTTAATAATTTCAGATTTTAGGTAGGGTTTGCGAATGTGAACGTCTTTCATTAAAAAAAAAAAAAAGTAATTTAAGGGAATCCTGAAAATTTGCTTAGTCACCTTTAAAGTAGTGAGACTCGAATCCAACAGTAGAAAATGCTGTTTATGGAAAACATGCAGGTCTGGTCCTTTCCCCTTGCACTTCCCCCAGCATCCACAATCACTGCATTGGGGATGTTGCTGTGTATGTCTACACACATTCTTTTTAGCATCCCTTATACACCTGCCGTCTGTGAATTTGCCTAATCCCTTTCTGATTGTGCTGATCCATCTGCCTCCACAGGCTCCTGTGGCAGCAAGCTCTGTGTTATCTTTTTTAAAACATCTCCTACTAGTTTAATCAAATGCCCCTAGTTCAACCATTGCAGGATTTCGTAAAGGGTTATGTCTTTAATTTATTTACTTTCTTTATGATTTTGTAAACCTTGACCTTATTCTCCCACAGCCTTTTCCTCTCCAAACTGATGACACTCAGCTTTTTCAGTCTGCTTTCTTAACACAGTGCACCATCCCTTGGATTATTTTGGTTGTCCCTTTCTGGATCGACCCTATATCCTTCTGCAAATGCAAAATCCAGAACTACACACAACAATTAAGATGTTTTATATTGCAGAAAAGGGATGCCCTCTGCTCAGTTCTCAACATACATCCTAATGGTACCCAATATTTTGTGGGCTTTTTGGGCTGCCCCAGCACATTGAGCTGATGATTTCACAGAACTATCAAAGGTAAGGATCCCTTCCCTGAGCTGTAACTGCAGTTTTGAGCTTGGCATCCTGTAAGCTTGTCCTGGGTTATATTTTTTATTTAAAGAACTTTTTGCTATTGTTTTTTAGCATGCCTTGATCCACCCTTTATATTTTTTTAGTCTTAATTTCCAGTTTGCATCTCTCCTGTCATGTTTTATGTTGTCATGAACATTTTCTTGTTCTCATTTGAGTAAGCTTTCCACTTCTTAAAAAAAAAAATCAAACTTTTCCCTTAGTCTTCTTAGCTTTCTCATCAAGCCATGCAAGGCTTTTACTGGATCACTTGCTGGCTGAACAGTTTACCTGGGCTTCTAATAAACTTAAAACCCCCAAAATCCCAAACCCAAAAAACAACAATCCAGACTCTACCCTTCTTGGAGGCTTCCTGTCTTTTGGACAGCTTCTTGCAGCGCTTTTGTTTGAACTAACTGCTGGGTGTTTACATAATTCCCTTCTTGTACTCAGGTGCTGGATTTACCTGGTCTGCTCTCTCTTGCCTCAGTGTCAGACCCAGCTGTGCAGTAGTTGCTGTCACAGAGCAGCTAATACAGCTTGAATGGAGTCATGCACATAAATTAAGGCCAAATCCAGAATGGCGTCCTTTCTGTAGGGTTTTAGAGTAGTTGTTTTAGGAAGCAGACACTTACTGCATCCCAGAATTTTCTCTCTGCATCTCATCCTGATGATGTGCTGATCCAGTCCAACACAGGTAATCACACTCTCCCATCGTTGCTACCTATCCAAAGTTGCAGCTTCTCTAGCCTCCTTTACATTTTCTGATCATTATGCTGATTGGGGGTCAGAAGGACAATCCTAGCAGCCAGGGAGAGCCTTTTCCGATCATGACTGTTACATGGTTATACTTTATATAATCCCACATGTACACTCCCCTACCCCATGTCCTACTCTATCATCCCTGGAGCTTTTCTGCACTTGTCAGCTCAAATGTTGAAATACTCTTCCACATCCTTCTTAATTTTCAGTGCCAGCAGGCTGCCTCTGCTAATAAGGTGTGGCTGGTCCTTTCTCTTGCAAGTCTTGTCTGTCTGTTCCGCCAAACTTCCCAGTTTTTTGCATATCTAAATCCCTTCTCTCTACGCCATGGCTTCATAAATGCAGATCTCTGAATGCTAAACTTCTGCAAACCAGGAAAAAAAAACAACCCAAACAAATTAAATTTGGCACATGCCACCTCTGCTGGTGGAGGGAAAGATTAACTTGAAGGGGAGTCTGTGTGTGGGAGCCAAATTTGCTGCAAGACTTACAAGTCAGCATACATTCCTCAGGAAAGTGCTGCCCAGGAGGTTACTTGCACAGCAGTGCATGGTGTCAGACAGGAGAAAGCAAATTCCTATCCACCAGTGGCTTCTAAAGTGCTAATGGCCAGGGTGATGGCTTGGGAGCTGGGATAACAGCACTGAGTGCCACATATAATGGGGAGAGAGGGGTGAGGCTGGAGCAGAGCAGGAAAAAACCCACCAGCCTTTTAAAAAGCATCTGTGCCTGCTGTGAAATTAAATTTTCAGGATTGCAGGAGATGGCTCCTGTCTGTAATTTTCGCTGCCTGCTATCACCTACGTAGTCAAACATTTCCAACAGCAATCTCAAACCTGCTCCCCTATGGTACAGTACATAAAATACGCAGAAGCAGAAGGAATGCACAAGGATCAGAGTGTGCTCTACCTTTCCTAGCTATAGCCAGGTCTCAGCTAAAAACTACCCGATGGCAAATGTGAGATAATTATTGATCCCTACTAAAAAAGGTATTACCCTGACATGTGATCAAAGCCCACAGGCATGTCTCAAGCTGAAGTTTCACGGCAGCTTAACATTTAAATCCATGCTGTGCAGGTTCCCATCCTTCCCCAGGTACTCCTACTCTGTCCCTTGTGCCAGCAGTGCTCCTCGTGCAATTGCACAAGGAGCTGATGCAGAGAGCTAGGCTGGCTGAAAAACAAACCCAAACCAACTTGCTGGTATTCAGTCACATTTGCACCCTGAGCTGGCTCACTGCCAGTCACAGGAGCACCAACGCTAGCAGAGCAGAGGCTGTGAGGAACCATGGCCAGGATCACAGCAGTCCCATCGTAGGTTGTGCTATGGAGCTCCTCACGAGGGAATGAGCCTACATGGGTGAAGTAAGTACTCGGGTCTCTCAGGGGCCTTTGTGTTGCGGGGCTGTCAGCAGATAAAAGAGTGTGGGCAGCACAATACAGGTGTGGGGGGAGTGAAGATAGAGCACTCAATGGAAACTGCCTTTTTAATGGATCTAAAGTGTCCTGCCAGGGTTTTCCTTCTCCCTCGTGGGCTGGGGAACAGGACCGCAACCACACCATCTGTTACCCTTGGCTGACAGCATCAGAACTGCACCTTGAGAGGGCACTGAGGGGTGAAGAGTAAAGGGTAGTAGAGGCAGGGGTCTGTCCTGAAAAGGCTGTTGTACAGGTGCATGCAGTTGCTGTTCGAAGGCAACTTGGGGTTTTATCAAGGACTTCTCAAAAGAGACAGAGTTAAGGTTCCTTAAGCACGTATCTTTAGCTCTGTATTTTGTACTTTTCATGGTAAGGACGGAAGGTTTACTGTGGGCACAGCCTGCAAGTTTTCTTAGGCTGGTCTTGGGGACAGGAGGTCCAAGGGATGTCTTGCACCCCGCAGTTCTGGGAGTCCTACATGTCTAGTTCATCTAATCTCATCAAGTGACTCTGAGTTTGTTTTCTCATGATAATTATCTGGGCACGTGAAAATGATCTTACTCCACTTTTAAACATGTTGCAATAAAAGAGTGAGCACTGGCAGTTACTGCAGAGCAATGTAGCTCGTTACAGAAGAGCAGCAGGTTGTATTTCCTATTCATGCTCTTACTTGTCTCTTTCAGCTTCTTTTTAACAAACTTTCTGGTTTAGCAGTTGAGCATAACTGCAGTGGATTTTTTTGGCTTGTTAATATATACTGAATAGACACTATGGTCACTGTTACAGAACAGCTCTTCAGCTACAGCTGCTTAAAAAGGGCCTATGCAGTACTCAGAACTAAATGAACTAAAATACACACCTTATAACAAATGATGTAAAGCCAAAAAGCACATACGTCCTTTTCAAAACACTTGAAAAAGTAGAATTTCAGGGGCTCCTACAGGTTGGTGTTTGACTTTGTTTTTCACTGGCTTGTGTTTGAGATCACCTGGGGCCTTTCTTGACAAAGATCAGTATTTAGAGGTCAATTCCTTACTCATTTTTATCAGGCAAATGAACTGCCTTCGCTTCTGACAGCCCTGGCTGTGGTTTAATCCCTGCGCCAGCTCCTCTTGTTGAACCACTTCTGCTATTTACAAAGCCCTTTGCCCTAACCCCTGCGCTCACTTGGATAGCGCAGGGACTTGCCATGCATGCCCTGTGGAGCGTGTGGGGCAGGCAACTAAACCAGTAGCAAATCCGAGAGGAAAAGCTGGTTTTCACCTACGAGCACTGAAGAAACTCCAGGGTGAAACGGCTGAACTGCTAAGGCCGCCGTGCAATTTCTTGCTGGAAGCATCATCTTGATGCTTAAAGACTGGAAGGTGATGAGAAATACGTGAAGTTTTTAAACAGCTTCCAGGGGAGGTGACAGCAAGTACAGATTGGTGAGCCTGACACCTCTCCTGTGAAAAAAAACCACCAGAAATTATAATAAAGAGCAGAAGAAATGAGCCTGTTTTTTGCAAAGGCTGGTGCAGGTACCCGAGCAGCGTTTGGAGAAGTCCCTCGACAGAGCCTCTTTTACCGGGCAGCCTGCCCTGGGACCAGGAGGTACCTCACACGGGCAAGGGGGGGAAAATGAGGTGAAAAGGAAGGAAATCAGAGAATCCCCCATCCCGC